GCTCATCTACCAACATCTGCGTAGTGTCCAGCATGCCATGCGGTAATGTAGCATTAACATACTAGGCCTGTGTATACATTTATGTCAGCTGAAAGCATTGACATCAAACACAAAATTTTATTACAATTCTAAATCCTGTCTAAAATACAATACAATTCCTTCCATTCTTGTCTAAAATCCATGTCAATTAGCTATAAGTCCCGGTCATCTAAAAACGATGTCTTGTACTTCTTTGCAGAGATAAGTATTATAAGTTGAGAGAGCAGCAAGGAGTTAAGGAAGCAGATTCAGTAAAAGGTAAGTTTTCAAGCTTGCTTTCTTTCCGTATTGTTATCGTTAACTAAAACTATTCAAAACATTTTAGGTATTTGAAATAAAGCTGAAATAAAAATGATTGGAAATAAAAATTTAAATGGAAAATTAGAAATGTTGCCTTTGACAATTGAAATAAGTTTAAAGGAGGCCTATTAGCCTATTATGCCCCTTTTTACAAGATGTAATATAAGTCTCAGGTGTACCCAGAATGTGTCTGTGAAGTTTCAGCTCAAAATACCCCACAGATCGTTTATTATATCATTTTGAAAATGCCTATTTTGAGTGGAAGTACACGCACAGAAAGCGGCTGTCACACGGCATGTGAGTACTAAACTAAGTTCACTAAGTGCAAATAGCTATAGATTCTATTTAGGAATAGCAAGATTTTCTGCTGTTTACTGTGTACTACTTATTGCAAATAGTGGCAATTATCTGCACCTCAGTATTGTAGTACATTCTAAAACAGTATGCAATAATGACATATTGAGTGTAAATTATATTATTTACATGGATGCCACCTTATTGGGACAATAAAGCTCTCCCTACACCTACCATAACCCTACCCGATACTTTATTTTCAACTTGTTGATTATTTCCTTCATTTTTATTGAAAATAAATGCCTTTCTGATGTGATATGTGTAAATATACACTCCGTTCTAATAATTTACTAGGTTAATCTTTTTCATGTTTCCTACTTGGTAGATTCCCCGGAGACCCGACTATAGCACTTAAACATGGAAAAAATCCGATTTTCATGATATGTCACCTTTAAGTATTAAAATTACTAAAACCAAAATAAATAATATTCAAGCTAAATAGAAATATTTAAACAAAAAAAACAAATAAAAAAGTACTAAAATAAAAAAAAAATCAAAATAAAAGCTAATTGTAAATATCAATAAATATTATAATAATATGTAAATAATGCTAAATCAACACTGCTTTCTTTCTTCATTTTTATTGAATGGTTAGTGTCCATGTAAAAACACCACTCACATGTGCCCTTTGTTCTCTGGCATATGGCAGCTTCTCATAAATAAAGGACTGTTTTGATCTTACAGACAAGAAGAAAGTAGATGGACTATCAAAGCTCTTCACTATTCTCCAAGACCTACATGATGCACATGCCGCGGTGGAGGAGGAGGAAAGGTCAAAGAATAAAAATGTTTTCTTGGAATTACAAACGTAAACAAAAGGACTTTTTAACTGGTTGCATTTCATACTGTAATTCACAGTGTTACACATACGCAGGCTTCAAACCTGCTATTATTTGACACATAGATGAGAAAAGAAATACTGTACAGTAAGTTGGATTTGTTCTTGTATTCTTGAACTTTTGAACCGATTCTTGGTGGATAGATGGATATTTAGAGGGCTGCGATCACAATCCCTTTATTAAAGGATAGTTAAATGGTGGTGTATTTGCGAAATATTTGGTATTAAGGACAGTGTTACCTTACTGCAATGATTCAAGTGGGTTGCTAACTCAAAAACTGTGTCTTGTTGGCATTTCTGCAGCTTTTACATGCACTCAAACTAAATTGTTTTAACTTGAACTTTTTCAACATTAATTTCAACTAATCAGCATTGTTCCTTCTTTAACGTGCTTTTGACTTTACAAAGCACCGTGGATATGCATGTCATTTTTCATTAAATCAGTTTTATTAGAATGTTTATATAGATTTGAAAGATGTTTGTTTTTAATTTATTTTTTAATTCTGTAGGTTGATGGCAAGAGGAGAATTTGTTTATTCTTGGATTTGAATACTATGTAAAGCTGCCATTCCTGCTGTCTCAATGCCTTGTCTGTATGTGTCATGTTTTGTTGTTATGTCTTTTTATGATATGAACTGTAAACAAGTATGCATTGTGCATTTCACAAAAACAGTGTATTCCTGCCATTTTTAAATGTGGGGGGACATTACTTTTTTTTCCCCTGAAAGGTGGTGATGTTTATTATTTCTCCACTAGGTGGCATTACAGTGTTCCTTATTGATAATCTGAATTCAGGCCTCATTTGCAGTACAGAAGTGCTTATGAACACACACACACACACACACACACACACACACACAAACTCTTTAAAGCTAATTCCAGAAGATATCAAGAACGTCTCTGAATGGTGTTTTAAATTCCTCTGCAGCCATATTTAATTATGGCTGCAATTGACCAACTTTTAGTAAATATTAACAAATCTCTTAAGAACTGCCTGCATTAACGTAACTGCAAAATTATAAGAGGATTATTTCAGACTTTTTTGAGGTTTGAAAAGTTCGTTTTAACCCTCGACTATGTAGTTGAACTTGCATACATTCACAATATTTCATTTGTCTTGAGGGGACAAAAACAATTCTGTCATCGTTTCCTCCCCCTAATGTTTAAACCTGTATGATTTTCTTGCTTCCATACAAAACCAGATATTTTCCAGAATCTCCATGCTACACTTAGACAATGCCTAAAGTCATATGAAGCCATGTTGCAAGCCATTCTGCAAAAATATTTCATTTGTTTTCTGTGGAAGAAAGTTTTTTGGATGTCTTGTTATGACATATCAACAATTATTTATTAAACATATTCACTGAATATGACCAGGTCAGGTGACAGTATGTGGGCAACATAGATTATGAATTGATTATATTATTTATTAAGACATTTGGACCACTTTTTCTTTCTTTCTTTCTTGTATTTTTTTTTATTCAGTTAAGCATCATCATTTTTTGTATTAATTATTCGTTCTTACATTCTCAGAAAAAAGGTACAAAACTGTCATTGGTGCTGTACCCTTTCAAAAAGTAATGTACACTTCATGTTCTAATACTACTTTTAAAGTACTAATATGAACCGTTTAGGCATAAAAAGGTGCAAAGATTTACATTTTAGCTGTTGTACCATATGATATTGTCCCAGTGACAGCTTTGTACCTTTTATGAGAGCGTAGGCTTCTTGTTATTGTTTTGAGTGTGTTATTATCTGTTTTGAGAATTTTACATTTACAGCTCCTGTTATTAAAGAGTCAAAATGGTGCCTTATGTTTACAAGAAAGAATGTGCTTCCTGTTTTCTCTTCAGTAGTCATCTGAAACATGACCAGCCCTCTCTGTTATTTTCGCTTTTTCTCCACCTCTCTCAGTCTGTTTTCCTCTCTCAGTGTTTTCTTTTGAGGGAAACACATAATTATTTCTGTACTATTAAAGACAGGCACTATTATTTCACATGCTAAAGAGGAGGCACTAGTTGGAGAATTAGTGTTTTTTTATTTTTTTTTTTTGTATTACGGCTAAGCTCTGCGTTTTGTTGTGTATGAGGATAAGAATAATAACTATGTTTATTTTGAAATGGGAAGATGGCATGCAAGGAGTCAGTTGATGCATTTTTGGTTATGATGAATTTAGCCTATTAACTGACCAATGACAAGTGTTGGTTATACTTCAGTAATATGGCAGAATCTACTTTTCTGACACATTTCTTACCTACTTTAAAGGTACTTTAAGCATGTTTTAATTTCCTCATGATCATGTTTGTGGAATTGTATGCATCTACAAATCAATAAAAAAAAGGCATGGAAATTAAGTAAAAGATCTTTCCTTCTCGGTTACACCTTTTTGTATTTTGCACCTTTTGTATTTTTTTATATTAGTATTATTATTATTTGATTTCATTTTGATTTCATTTTAAGAATCTTCAGATGACGTGTCTGTGTTGTGGACAAGCGGTCTTTATTCAATAATTTAATCCATGGCCGGAAATACATACATTTCATGGCAGCTGGACTTTTTTGTTGCGTTTCCGGCCGGGATGCCCATGCTTCTTTCATGTTTGTGTCAAAAAGTCATTATTCGGTGGTAGAGAGTAACTGGTATAAAAAATGATATGGCTAAAACTAGCTTGGCCTGTTTTGGCCTGCAGTCCTTAACGTAGAGATAACAGAGTATCCAAAACTGTAGTAATAGGAAGTCCGACTCGTTTCGTGCGAATCGGTTCTTTCGAACATTAGCCTATGTTCAAATAACCGGTTAAGCGATTCAGTAGCTACTGACTATTCTTCATGGTCTCTGTCGTCCCCCGGCATATGCTACATGCTCGTTACAGTAAAGCCAGGAAGGATTATTTATGTTTAATATGTTATTAGTTAAGTTTGATTACAAAGAGTGTAACAGTAATTTTGTCTCAATGTTCAATTTGCTACAGCCAATTCAGCTTACAAAATGAAGCGACACAATTAACTTAAGCCATGCAGCCCTGGTTCGTATGTTTTTTTTTTTATGAAACAGGCTAACCAAGTCGTAAACCTACTGCCATTGACTTACCGCTGCTATCATTTGACTCAAAGCGGTCCAATCAGTGCGATTCGTGAACACCAGTTTTGTTCGCCCGATTCAAAAGATTCGACTCAAAAGAACGATTCACGAATCGGAAATCGCTAAAGCGGCCCCCCTGCCTGAAGGCTTTTACCCCTCCTGCTTAATGACCCTCATCTATTCAGCAACCATTTGCTCACCACTGACACACTTTCGGGACATTTCTAGGCATCTGTTTGTAAAAGAGCTTTCCTAAAATGTGCCGGTGTCTGTGAGCCTCGCATCCTGTCCCACTCTCACTGCCAGCTTTAGCTCAGCATCCATATTGTTCGCATCCGTCTGGGAGAGGGAGAGGGAGAGAGAGAGAGAGAGAGAGAGAGAGAGAGGAGTCCAGTGGGACGAACAACTGCTGGCCCATCAACCAGTCCTGCGGCTCAAAAAGACAGTAAGTCAGCTTCTTCTGTGCCTCGCTCGCCTCCAGACCCACATAAGCCAGTGATTTGTCTCATCATATTAGCCTTCACTAGGCCCAGACAGAATCTGCAGGCACTTTTCTGCACCAGCGTTATTTTGATATTATTTATATACTTTTTATGTATAGTATAGAATTCATCAACATTTTGAATTTGCTTTTATTTTTTATATTTTCAGTTTTAATTTAAATGTTAGTTTGTATTAGTAATATTATGTGATTTTAAAAATGTATATTAGTTTTTGGTAACATTTCTACAACAGTTTAGCTTAAATTTATTTTTATTTCAGTTTTAGAAATCAAAGTACTTAAACATAACATTTTATTTGAGTTATTAGCCATGGCAGTATTTCAAAAGTTTTTTTTTTTTTTTTAGATTAAGCTTTTCATTAGATATTTTATTTTATTGCAGTTTCAATGAACAAATAACTGTTTTAATAGTTTTAGTTAACAACACATATATATTCTGATTTTGTGTGTGAAATGGATTTGAGCGTGATACAACACATTGAACAAAGTGTTGTTTAATGATAAGTAATGAAAATATTGAAGCAAGTGTGCATTTTGGCAGAAATCTGTGTCATTTTTTCCTTAATTCTATGGTTGCAGACTCTGTGTTGGCTGGATTGTTATTAAGAAATGCTACAATGTTTTTTTGGACACAATGCCCAGGTAATTGATGCCGTGGTAATTGTACAATGCAAATATCATGGTATATGACCATGTTTATCATACACTACAATGGTTCATATATCAAAGCACCACCACAATGTTGTCAGTTGAACTGAAGTGGTTTGATTGAAATTGAGCATTTTTTTCACTGAAATGGAACCAGAGAACCTCTGTTTCATTTTTGCTATTGTCAAGCGTTCGAAAGTTTGAGGTCAGTAAGATTTGTTTTTTAATAAATTAATACTTTTATTCAACAAGAATGCACTAAATTGTTCAAAAATGACAAGACTTAAAAAGAAGACTGAAGCCCCGTTCACACCAAGAACTATAAAGATATAGTTCTAAAAATCTTTCTCAATATTAAAGAATAGCAACGTCCACACCACAATTATAACGATAAAGGCACAGAGAAACAATATCGTTGGAATCACTTTTCACTAGGCCCAGACAGAATCTGCAGGCACTTTTCTGCACCAGCGTTATTTTGATATTATTTATATACTTTTTATGTATAGTATAGAATTCATCAACATTTTGAATTTGCTTTTATTTTTTATATTTTCAGTTTTAATTTAAATGTTAGTTTGTATTAGTAATATTATGTGATTTTAAAAATGTATATTAGTTTTTGGTAACATTTCTACAACAGTTTAGCTTAAATTTATTTTTATTTCAGTTTTAGAAATCAAAGTACTTAAACATAACATTTTATTTGAGTTATTAGCCATGGCAGTATTTCAAAAGTTTTTTTTTTTTTTTTAGATTAAGCTTTTCATTAGATATTTTATTTTATTGCAGTTTCAATTAACAAATAACTGTTTTAATAGTTTTAGTTAACAACACATATATATTCTGATTTTGTGTGTGAAATGGATTTGAGCGTGATACAACACATTGAACAAAGTGTTGTTTAATGATAAGTAATGAAAATATTGAAGCAAGTGTGCATTTTGGCAGAAATCTGTGTCATTTTTTCCTTAATTCTATGGTTGCAGACTCTGTGTTGGCTGGATTGTTATTAAGAAATGCTACAATGTTTTTTTGGACACAATGCCCAGGTAATTGATGCCGTGGTAATTGTACAATGCAAATATCATGGTATATGACCATGTTTATCATACACTACAATGGTTCATATATCAAAGCACCACCACAATGTTGTCAGTTGAACTGAAGTGGTTTGATTGAAATTGAGCATTTTTTTCACTGAAATGGAACCAGAGAACCTCTGTTTCATTTTTGCTATTGTCAAGCGTTCGAAAGTTTGAGGTCAGTAAGATTTGTTTTTTAATAAATTAATACTTTTATTCAACAAGAATGCACTAAATTGTTCAAAAATGACAAGACTTAAAAAGAAGACTGAAGCCCCGTTCACACCAAGAACTATAAAGATATAGTTCTAAAAATCTTTCTCAATATTAAAGAATAGCAACGTCCACACCACAATTATAACGATAAAGGCACAGAGAAACAATATCGTTGGAATCACTTTCAGAACGTTTTTTTTCCAGCTGACGAACGATACAAACATTGACACTAGGGCTGCAAGATTAATCGAATGCGATTGTCATGCGCATTTTGTTAAAAAAGCCGGTTCTGTAATCAGCAGGAAATCATCATCACATGCTTTCAGATGGAGCAGAATTTACTACACATAGCCATAGTTCACTGACAAGTTACGCAAAAAAATCGCAGACGATTTTATTGCGCGATTCTGAAATCGAAGAAATCGTTCGCGATAATGACAGCTGTTTGCATAGCTTCTCAAGGAACTACGGCTCTGTGAAGTACATTCTGCTCCATCTGAAAGCATGTGAAAATACCACATTTAATAAAATTAGAATTAAATAATATTAAAAGAATAATATTAGAATTTTAATAAAATTAAAAGAGTGTTTGAAATAAATCCTTCTGTGAGATGATGTGGCTTCTTACACAGAATAAGGCACGCAACATATTTCATAGTATTTAAGCAGTGATAAAGGCATTGCATTATAAATATATTTTATTTGAATGAAAATTATAATAATAAGAACTCAGATAAACTGTATATTGCCGTAGTCGTGTGTTTATTAGTCACGTTGAATCAATGAAAGCAGTTGAATCTTCTGTTTATTCAACTGTAGCGATTCAGCGCGAGAGCGCCCTCTGGCCTTTGGATGGAGATTTACTGCTGATCACAGAACCGTACTTCACTGAAAGATATGCATGACAATCGCAGCTTCTGTCGATTCGCGATCTCGATTCCATTTCGATTTATCGTGCAGCCCTAATTGACACCCAATCAGAATCAATCCTGCTATAACGAGCTGGAGAATTTAAAGCGGCAGACCAGCGTGCGCTCGCTGGTGTGGACGCTAATATTGTTATCTTTATAGTTATCTTTTTTGGTGTCAACGGGCCTTTAGATTGTTACAATGCTCTTTCTTTCTGTTCTTCAAAGAATCATGAAATGTATCACAGTTTCTACATAGCAGCACAAATGTTTTCAACATTGATTATAATAAGAAATGATTTCTGAAGGATCACATGACACGGGAGACGGAAGTAATGGCTGCTGAAAATGCATTTTTGTGATTACAGGAATAAATGACATTTTAAAATATACTAACTCAGAAAACAGTTCTTTTAAATTGTAATATATCGCAATATTACTGTTTTGTTGTATATTTAATCAAATAAGTGCAGCCTTGGTGAGCTTAAGAGACTTTTTTTCTAAAACAAAGACAAATAAATCATACTGACCTCAAACGTTTTGAGTTGATTTGATCACTCTTCAACTCACTTTTTTACAAAACGGTAGACCATTTATTAATATCAATGGGTGCAGATTGCTTTATTCCTTAACAGTTTGATCTGAGTTGTGGTTTATTGTGATTAATGTGGTTAATTATCTTTTGAATCAGATGACAAGTGCTGACACTGGTGACAGACATAAATCACAGTTAGCTAATCCCTGCCTCGGTGACTTGGCCGACCTCACATCCAGCCACAACGAGAGCAGACCATGTTATTTACATTAGTTTGTGTGTCACCCAGAAGGGTCTCATGGTTCAAGCAGACCGTGGAATGCTTTGTTCGTAAAACACACACATACAGGAAGTGCAGTGAAAATCAGGAGTTCTTCTGCTTTTCACATAAAGAAGTCGTCAAACGTGTGATGTTCCTTAAGGGTAGTTTAAAAAGCCATTTTACTCAAAACTCATATTTATTGCCCTCTTAGTCTTTTTATATCAACGCTTTGTTTTTCTTCAGTCTCTACCAACAGTATGTGTTTTATGTTTAGCAAAAGCAGCTCATAGTATTTATAACTGTGTGGGTAAAATGTGGTAGCCTGTTCTTTTTAAAATTTCACACCATAGTATTAATGTGTCGTGTCCTGTGGTCTAATGCTAACCGTCTGTCATACAAGGCAAATGCACTAGCATTGATCATAGTCCTCTGGCTGTTCTGAGAGATTGAAGAAGAAGAGTGTGTGCTTGTGGCAAAATGTGACTTCAGGAATGCAAGTATTTCAGCTAGTACTTTTTAGCGAGGTTTTATTAAAAACATTTTAACATAAAGAAAATATGTCAATGTTGTGCATGAACACAAGGGTGGTTTATATGTCAGCAGAAAAACAACCAACCAAATAAGCTAATAAATTAATAAAATAACAAAAAATCAAAAGATTATATATTTTAATTGTGCTGCGCACAATCTTATAGGTAAAATATATACCTATAAGTAAAATATATAGGCTGTTTATAATTTTTTTTGTAGACTACACCTTAAAAATGGCATATAATGTGACTGTTCATATATTTAGTTAAAGGGATAGTTCACTCAAAAATGAAAATTCTGTCATTAATTACTCACCCTCATGTCGTTCCAAACCCGTAAGACCTTTGTTCATCTTCGGAACACAAATTAAGATATTTTTGATGGAATCTGAGAGCTCTCTGACTCTCCATAGACCGCAAGAGTACTACAACGATCAATGTCCAGAAACGTAGCAAGGACATGGGTAAAATAGTCCATGTGACATCAGTGGTTAAACCGTAATTTTACAAAGCTATGAGAATACTTTTTGTGTGCAAAGAAATCAATAATAACATAATTTATTCAGCAATTCTGGAGAATTCCATTTTGGAGAGAGAACGTAATCAACGTAATGAGCGGTGTTTACGTTCAGCATGCGCACGCTTTCAAAGTTAAAAACTAAGCATTCATTTTGCAAACTATACTAATGTAACAACTGGTTAACACTATAAGCATCATCCTCTGGTCAGGTAAAATGGCATGTCAGCCGCCCACAGACT